TATTTAATCAGAAGCACGTTTTTGAGAGGGGTTTTTGGGCAGAAAAAAAAAACTTGACATGCATAAACGTGGTATTTAGGCACGCTTAGTGTTTTCAAGTGTAAACTGATTATAGTGAAAAATGAGCCGAGGGAAAGGTTTTCAGGAAAACACTTATAGACATAAAATGTGTGTGCAATAGGAGCCATTATTTTTCTGACAAGAGGTTCTGACATTTTTTCAGGCACCTAGTGTGCATGGACCCCAAGTGACAGGAAATGTAACCTTTTCCAGTTGTCACCATACCACAATATGAGGGTGTATTTTCCATTGGGGACACCTGTTGCAGTGACAACTCTTTCCCTCACATTACAGATATTTCCGTTTTCAAATTCAAGGCAGGAAATGAACAGAAATCATCTCAATGAGACAGAGAGAGAGCAAAATAAAAATCAGCTGACAGAGGTTTTAACCCTTGCTTATTCTTCTAAAAATAGCTAAAAAGCTTTGGCTATGTGTACAGACTGGGAGGTGTTCAAACACACCTGAAATGTTGGGTTACATCATGTCAGAGCTGTAACACCCTCCTTATACACTGATGTTCTGACTACTTTACACTTAAAAAGTGAAGTCATTTTGGTGGTTGTTGAAAACGTTACACATCCGTGTTCATTGCACTGCCTGCTAAGTAAAAGACGTTCTAAAGGTATATTGCAACTACAGAGATGGTCATGATAATATGTGTTTCTCTATTCACTTTAAAGTGTAGCTGGTAGTGTCCAGCTAAGGACATTCAAATATACATATTTTTAACAAACAGTGCTATAAAACAAGCGATTAATTCTCAACGCTCACAGCAGAAGAACTATAGTCATTTTCTAAGCCAGCTCAGCTCTCCCCTCCTAGATATCATTTGTCAGACTTCCTGTCTTTTAATTTCTATTGTAAAAACAAAGCAGGTAGTCTGGGAGCGGGAGTAGGGTGATCTCAGCTGCTGAGAGAAAATACCTCTTTTGCTTTGTAGTTTGAGGATGAATTGCTCCACAGCGCCTGCAGCTACAGAGTGTTTGTTTTAAATTTCAATTACTGCTTGTTAATATAGAAATACTTAATTGTCCAAAGCCTGGTCACATATTCACTTTAAAGATCTGCCTAAGAAAATGCAGCATTTGAAGAAAAAAAGCCGTTATACCAGAAAATGTGTTGCTGCTTTACATGTGTAGAGTACAGTTTTACACTCCCAAGTATTGTGCACATGCTGCCATTCCCCTTACAAGGTCTTAGTCATCTGACTAGGTAAAAGGATTATATACTTAAAAATAAAGCAGTAAGGCACCAGAGTTCATAGATGAAAATTTGAATCTGAATTCCATGTCATCAGCAGAAAAGTTTCTTAGTAGAACTTCAAAGACTGCATTATTATTCTACTTTTTTCAGCACAAGTTTGGGAGAGGCTGGAGAAACAGCAGAGTTGCATGGTAAGTTATCTCGTTTCTTCTCCTTTCCGGAATCTGGCCTATACCAACCACTGTTTAAATCCTGCTGTAAAGATACAGGTACACAGTGTGAGGGAAGATGGCACAGGATTTTCATAAACTATTTCAGAACAGTAACAGGATTCCTGCTCCATGTAGGGTTTGAAGTCACGTTCTTTGGGTCTAATGGCAGATGAGTGCAGGTCGTGTGCTCAAGCTCTGAAGAGACAGGAGCACCCTCTGCTACAGCTCCCCCCTGGTTGCAGAAACACAAGATATTTGCAAAGAAGATTACAAATAATGTCGGAGACCAGGAAGAGGGGGATACTGGGATTTGGTCCCCTTGTTGGTTACCGATTCCTGACTAGTTGGTGTTTTGGCTTTCTGTGATTCCAAGCTACTAAGTCCAGAATCTTTACCCTCTGTCCAGGCTCCCCCACTCAGCCCGGCTCCAGGTTCAGATACTCCTGTTGTCCCATGAGCTGGCTCTTTCCAGTCATTGAAGTTAAGATCAGTCAGCTGCCCTGGGAGCACCACAGTGTGACGTCGCCAAGCACTTTTCCTCCTGCGTGTTTCTGGAGATCCAGGTTTCCTCATTGCTGTTACACACAGGTCATCCACTGCTGCCCTTGTCCGCTGTGGTGTACGAGAATGAGATGATGCTGGTTCATCTGAGGTTTCATATTTACCCTTACCCAATTTCTTGCGAGCTAGTGTGTCCCCAGGAATAAGCCTTTGAGAGGTGAATGAGTCCTGAGAGTGAGGTCGTTCTGTTTCTCTTTCTCCACCCACCTCTGTGTCAGTTTCCATGTGACTGAATTCACTGCGCTCATCATCAGCTTCATCTCCACCACGAACACTGGAGGCTGGTTCTGAGCAAAGTGTAGAGAGTGTGGAATACCCAGAAACAATGGATCTAGTGTCAGCGGGGATCCTCTCTCCTACAGGAGCTGTCCATCTACTTACAGGCTCTTTGTTCTCAGCTGCAGTATCCCTTTCGCTGGTCAGTTTTTGCTCTTGGGGCTCAGGGCATTCTGGACCTTCAAATTCCCTGGACTCACATTGCTTTTCTCGAACATCAGCCCCTTTCTCTGTTTGTCCCACCCGTATTGCCTCCTGCTCAGAGTCATCCTCCTCTGTGCTGCTCCCAAAGCGCTTCTCGTCTCTCCACTTCCTGCGCTTGCGGTTGACAGCGGAAATAAAGGGCAAGGATAGTAAATCACGAGCATACAGCTCCTTTCGAGAAGCCTAAAGCAAAACAAGAAAGATTATACCTTCATTACCATTCCCTCTATAAATTGCCTTATCAGTTAAACTTTTATTATGAACAGTCTGCAGCCATACAAAAATGACAATGGGGCTCATGATAAAAAAAAAAATAATATTAATTTCATTGCACCCAAATTAGTCTATATTTAATGTGCTCTATTAACAGGGAAAGGAAAAGTGAATGACTGGCTTCAAGCTAATCAAACTCAATGTTAGACTTTATATAACACTTTTGGAAACACCAGCAAAGTCTACCCGTTCATGTGCAGCTAATCAGGGAACAGTGTGTCTTATTTTAGTGTTGCTGAGCACACATTCTCCTTGTGCAATACCCAAACCACTACAACTGAAAAGAGCAGAAAATATAATTTTTGTACTCACCTTAAAATTCTTTTCTCTTAGTTCATTGAGGGACACAGATATATTCACTAGATGTGTGGGTTTATATCACCATCAGCAGGAGGAGCACACTAGGTGTGAAAAAAAAAACCCCCTAAGGATCGGGCACCACCTAGTTGCTAAACCTCACCTCACAAGTAGTACAAGGAGCAACAAAACTCCCAACATAGGCAACAAACCCAACTAAAAAGGAGACAGCAGCTGCGTCCCTCAATGAATTCAGGGAAAACTGGGTGACAGTGTTGACTAAAGCTCAAGACAGACGCAATTCAATACAGGAGGGTTCAGAGGGTCCTGCTCATGGGAGTTTACAATTTAAATGGAGAGGCAAGTAAAACAAAAGGCATAAACTGTGAGGGACGATGTGATGATCAAAGTGGAAGTACAGTACAGGTAGGCTTCCCTAATGACAGAGACAGGAGATAGATGATTGAGTTGAGAACTGATGTTGTAGTTAGTATTTCAAGTTTTAGTCATTGGGAAAGTGGAAGCCAATGGAAGGACCAAAAAAGAGGGCTGGTGGACACTGAGAAGTTTGTTAGATGGATGAGTCTGGCAGCAACCTTTATGATAGTCTGAAGGCCAACAAGGTGAGAGTTGCATTAGCTGAGGCAATACATTACAAAGGAAAAAATTAGAATTAGAAACTTTGTTGTGTCATTAGTTAGGAAAGGGTAAAATGAGGAAATGAAGGTGGGAAGTGATTGGATGGGGGCTACAAGGAGAGGACAGAGTCCATGATTACACTTAGCACCCTTGCCAGGGAGGATTGACTGATTGCAGTACTGTTAATCTTGAAGGAGAAATTGGTGGAGGGGACATGGCAGAGGGAATATTATGAACTCACCTCAGTCAATCAGAGGAAGCTTTGTATTAAATAATTTAAAACACAAGGTTTCCCCATATATATACTGACTTCTATTTTTTTTTAATACATCTATTCAATTTTATATGTAAATGAATGTATGAACTCAAAAAACACTGCTATGTTCCACTTACTGTATAGTGTCAATGCACCATTCCAGCTATGATATGCATTGACAGTGTTTTATGCCTAACAAAGTTAAAAATGAAATCCAGGCAGAGCAAAGCATTCTCTGAATGGTGTCCATGAAATGTGGCCAACCTCCTGTGTTCAATATGTAGCTGCTCATCATGAGACCTAGAATCAAATGGAGATCACTAGTGATGTCTACACCAGCAATTTTCAGCTTCCAGGGGTATCGGCCAGGTATGGTAAATGCAGTTATATTGCTCCAAGTTGAATCAATGTAACTATGAATAAAATATTCATGCCTGAAATTCATCTTTAATTTGAATTTGCCACATATTAATTTATAATTAATAAGGTATACATGACTCTTTTGCAAATCTGACAGAGCTTCAACACATTCATTCACTCCATTATGGAGGTGGTTTTATTCACCTCCACTTTCCTCTTCAATGATATGATGGTATTTGCTTTGAATTTAACACAATAGTGGCAGACAGCAAAAGTGTTGCAAACTACATGATATTGTTGCAGGTGTCAGTAGTAACAATGAAAATATTGCACGGGTTTTATGAATGGTGCAAGGCTTCTAACTACATTCACATCTCCAGAAATGTGTTGCATACGTCTTATTAAATTGGCCCCATTGTATCATCCCAAGCTGTCTATCACACATAACACACACTGATAGAAGCACCTTGGCGAGGGTTTTTCCTGAAAAACTATAACACACAGAACGTGTTGAGTGATCATAAAAAACTCTTGTGCAGAATAATCATTTTTCATATCACGTTTCCAGTCTGTATTGTCTTGCGACACCTCTAGGCCCATGTTAAACATCTAACATACATTGTCTATATACTCACCTTTGCTTTGGCAGAATCGCTGTTGGCTGAGTCTAAACAAAATCAGAAAAGACAATGAGAGGGCATCAAGGTCACATGTAACAACAAGCATTCGGCTGGCCAGAGATGGATAGAATGTCAAACAAAAATTCTTAGGAAAAGTTGTATGAAAATTCTCAGAACATTCGCTAGTCATTTGAAAGTTTTAGTTTGCTTTTACAATAATTGATTTTGGATGAATGTACGATACTAAATGAAAACCACATAGACTGTTAGAAATTCATTTGTTACAGAAAAAGTTTCTATCCTGCCCGTCTGAATTTTCTTGTCACTGTGGTTGAAAACGAACGTCGATTTGACCCACTAATGATTAGAAAAATTAACAAACTTTCTTGGAGCATTCTATTCCTAAGAATTGTCCTTCAAAATTCTACCCATCTATGTTCAGCTTTAGATTAGATTTCTGTGACATATCCATGCTGCTACATCTTCCATAATGTCGTCCTATTATTCACAGCACAAATGAGAAAACCAATATTTAATACTGATGTTCAACACATAGTACACCACAGACATATGGTGCCTCCTTAAAATATGGGTACTAGACTGTATAATCTGTGTTTGAGTATTGTTTTGAATCATATCTACATCTAGACATTCAAGTGTACCTAAAATCCTCAGTCTTGTAATCATAGAAGGTCTAGGGAATCTTGTTTTCGTTATCAGCTTCAGTACAATAAGCATAACTATGGCAGTGATGAACTCTCCTATACTGCAAAGGGAAATGCTGATAGCACCCATTCAGCCTTATCTAATAGGACAGAAGAAAGAGCAATGGTTATTTGCAAAGTGCAGTAAAACCACAGAAACAAATGCCAGTTTACTGTCAGTTTGGAACAAACAGTATTCGCAAGTGGAGGCTATGTGCTACTGTACTTTGTTTTTTCCCCATAGAGCAAAATGCCTGTGCTGTTGAAATTCAGTCCTTGAGAGCTCCTCTGTGCTACGATTTAAGGACAAACACACTCTGTTCACCTAGTATACAATACCTTTGATGACTTAGCTGTACAATTGTGCTACTTATTACCGTTGCGCTACCAACCAAAATGTCTATATTTAATACCCGTACTTTATAGCTCCCCTCTAGACTACACAGAGACCTATGTAACATACAACACCTTGGTTCATACATGGACACAAGCACATGGACTACACGAAAGAGACAAATGCAGGCCCTCCAGCAAACCAAAAAATGGGAATGAGTCGAATGGCAGATTGATGGAGACATCACTGACAGTATAAATGTGGGACAGGTAAAAGAGAGGCATTGAGGTATATAGAGATTTAGAAAAAGAAATGTACAGTAAATAGAGAACATGAACAGACAGCTTATTGAGACATCAGCATATATTATAATATACAGTGCATTCATAAAGTATTCGGACCCCCTTCACTTTTCTCTATTTTGGTATGTTGCAGCCTAATACTACAGTTGTTTAAATGCAATATTTTTTCTCAATGTTCACTCAGTACCCCATAATGACAAAGTGAAGACAGAATTTTAGAAATGTCTGTGAATTTCTTAAAAAGAAAAAAACTGAAATATCACATGTACGTAAATATTCAGACCCTTTACTTAGTACTTTGTTGAAGCACCTTTGGCAGCAATTACAGCCTCGAGTATTTTTGGGTATGATAGGACAAGCTTTGCACACCTGGATTGGGGGATTTTCTGCCATTCTTCTTTGCAAATCCTCTCAAGTTCGGCCAGGTTGGATGGGGACCATCGGTGGGCAGCCATTTTCAGGTCTCTCCAGAGAGGTTTAATAGGGTTCAAGTCAGGGTTCTGGCTGGGCCACACTAGGACATTAACAGAGTTGTCGATAAGCCCCTCTGGTGTTGTCTTGGCTGTGTGCTTAAGATCGTTGTCCTGTTGGAAGGTGAACCTTCAGTCCAGTCAGTTCCTGAGTACTGTGGAACAGATTTTCATTAAGGATATCTCTGTACTTTTCTCCATTCAGCTTTTCCTCAACCCTGGCCAGTCTTCCAGTTCCTGCTGCTGAAAAACACCCCCCACAGCATGATGCTGCCACCACCACACTTCACTGTTGGGATGGTATTGAGCAGGCGATAAGTGGTGTCTGGTTTCCTCCAGATATAACATTTAGAAATGAGGCCAAACAGTTCCATCTTGGTTTCATTAGACCTGAGTTCCTCACAGTCTAAGAGTCCTTCAGGTGTTGTTTTGCAGATTTCAAGCAGGCTTCCATGTGAAGAGACGCTTCTGTCTAGCCACTCTGCCATAAAGCCCAGATCAATGGAGGGCTGCAGTGATGGTTGTCCTTCTGGAACATCTCCACACAGTATCTCTGGAGCTCAGTGACCATCCGGTTTTTGGTCACCTCTCTTACTAAAGCCCTTCTCCCTTGTTTTCTCAGTTTGGCCAAGCGACCTGCTTTTGGAAGAGTCCTGGTTGTGCCAAATTTCTTCCATTTGAGAATTATGGAGGCCATTGTGCTCTTGGGAACTTTCAGTGCAGCAGAATTTTTTTTGTAGCCTTCCCCAGATCTGTGCCTTGGAATTATTTTCTCTCTGTGCAGGCAGTTCCTTTTGTCCTCATGGCTTTTAAACTGACACAGTATGCACTGTCAGCTGTGAGGCCTTTTATAAAGAGGTGTGTGCCTTTCTAAATCATGTTCAATCAACTTAATTTACCACAGGTGGACTCCAATCAAGATGTAGAAACATCTCAGCAATGATCAAGAGAAATGGGAGGCACCTGAGCTAAAATTTCAAGTGTTGTCGTAAAGGGTCTGAATACTTTGTCCAATATGATATTTCAGTTTTTTTCTCCCATTTTCATAAATCTGCAAACATTTCTAAATTTCACTTTGTCGTTAAGGGGTACTGAGTGTGGTTTAATGGGAACAAAATTAATTTGACCTGTAGGCTAGAACATCACAAAATTAAAAAAAATGAAGGGGGTCTGAAACTTTCTGAATGTAATTGAAATGGGCTGATGTATGAAAAGTGTGCTATCAGGAAAATCTATTGCCTGTAGCAACCAATCAGAATCTTAGTTTCATGCTCTGACTTAAATATGCAGAAATGACTGTTGCAAGCCAATAAGTACCGTAATTATGGGCTATGAGCCTTTATTCGAACATACTTTTCATACATCTGCCTCAGAACTATGTACAAAATGATTTTACCAATAGAAATCAATCAGAATTTGCACTAATCTGATGAACAGGAAATTGGAACTAGCCCAGCCCATAGTTACTTCTCTACCTACTGAGATACAGTATGGAATTTGGGGATATTTATAAATATGCACAAAAAGCAACGTACTGATCAACGTTTACGTCTTACTACATTTTATAGATTAAATGTTTTATAGATTAAACTTAAATTGTAAAATTAACATTTTGGGTTGATACAAACTGATGTAATCACTCACTGCCATCTTATGTGTATCAAAAGCAAACTCTCACCACTGAAGTTTCCATTACTTCCTCTCTGCAATGTCATAATGAAGGGAGAGGGGTGCATTTTTGTCCTCCATACTGTAAAATAACTGACATATTACTGACTTGATACATGAAGAAAGCAGTCAAATTAGACTTCTAAAAGGACACAGTGGGGGGCAACTGAAAATTCAGGTGCAGAACGCTGACTGCGGGAGTCTGTAAGACCAGAACTGGCAACCCGTTGATCGTGATCTACTGCGGGCAGGTGACCTGTATATCACAAACAGGTCCCCGCCTTGCCAAGTGCTTTCCCCAGAGCTGCAGAGAGGCCAATCCTAGGCTGCAGAGGCAGCCCCTCTCCCGCAATCGCAAGTGTGCAAGGGGTAGGGGCTGCCTCCAAAACAGCTCGGGTGGGTTCGGACTCTTGACTGAACACACCTGAGCTCTTACTCTGTGTGTCATTGGGCCCTAAGATTTCCTTCCTGTTAACCACTTACCTGCAAGGTTGCAGATAGCGAAGCGCCCCGAGTGATGTACACCACACTCTTGTTGTCCCCCCCACCACACCAGGTTTTTCTTTTCACCCTGCACCACAACCTCCTGTACTTTGCCCTGCTAACCCCTGTCCTCTGCCTTACTGATCCATATATGCTCTTCATACTGCTGACCTCTGTACAATTTTCTTCATCCTATTGATCTCTGTGCACTGCCCTACATACTACGGACCTATGTGCCCTTCCCTACATACTACGGACTTCTGTGCCCTGCCATACATACTACTGACCTCTGTGCCCTGCCCTACATACTATGGACCTCTGTGCCCTGCCCTACATACTATGGACCTCTGTGCCCTGCCCTACATACTATGGACCTCTGTGCCCTGGGGGATTGCAAGTTAATTTCTTAAAAAAAAAAAAAAAAACGTGCAGCGCCCTAGTGATCTTTGATCTCTTCTATGTTGTCCATGTAGTTCTCCCACTCTAAAGTTGCCTTCCCTTGCTCTAAGATATCAATGGTTCCAGTGGATTTAAGCCTGCAGACTGCACCCAAAGCTAAATTGATATATATATCTGTTTTAGTTAGTGGTTACATTTATTGTCTTAAAAATATCCACTTTAAAGCACAAGTCTTGTTATTTACACCATTTACAGTTTTACCAATAAATATCTAGGACAGAGGCAGGCCAGATGGTTCAGTTCAGTGCAGACTATGTGACAATTACTAAGACACATAAAAGGATTGGGTAGAGCAATGGTAATGGAAAATGTTTGTGTAAAAGCACACCTGAGCTTCTGACAGTGTGATCCGGGCTTTCTCATTGCTTTTGGGTTGTGCATTTCCAGACCCAGTTGGGGAAGTTTATAAATGTTGCATTTGCTGCATTTAATATACAATAAAATTTGCTTTTACTTAAAAATATACAAAAAATATGCAACAACTGGGTTAGAAACAAGACCAGATTTTACTATTAGGTACATTATTAGGATGCACTTACTATCCATTGAAGGACACTGAACCCGCCTTCAGGACTGGACAACACAGGCTGATGGCACGTGTGTCGTTCAATGGACTTCAAGAATAGGATTTTACAGTAAGTACAAAAATCCTTGTGTAAAATCCTTCACAGCATAGCAATAAAGCAGGGAATGTTGCATTTGGCAGATGATCTATTCTGCCATTGGCCATATAGAGGCAAATGGGGCTGCTCTGCAACTACATCCAATAGATGTAGTTAAGAAGGATTCCGGTGAGAAATCCCTCTTCAAACACGTGTACCTCCTGATCGCCTGCTAACCGGGGGCCAGCTGCTGTTGACAAAATGATCCAGCACACATCGCGAGTCATCAGCTATGCCGATGAGAAAGGGGCCTTAGAATACCTTGTAACTGCGATCAATATATAATGTTAGCAGATAAACAGAAAATATAAAAGAAATAAAATATAATACAACATACAACAAATTATAACAAACTTTATCAGGAATATTTATACGTTATGCTTTGTGAGAGCAAAAATACTGGGATCATATTTGTATTTAGAACAACTGGGGAGTCAATAGTTGAAAAGGATATGGGTGTTCTGGTAGATCATAGACTTAATAATAGCAATTATTGCTAAGCTACAGTTTCTAAAATCCTTTCTTGTATTAAGAGAGGTATAGATTCCAGAGACAAAGACATAATTTTGCCCCTGTACAAATCATTAGTAAGACCTCATCTGGAATATGCAGATCAATTTTGGACACCAATTCACAAAAAGGATATCGGGGAACTGGAGAAAGTGCAGAGAAAGGCAACCAAACTTAGAAGAGACATGGAGGAGCTCAGAGGAAAGGAAAGATTAGAGGAACTGATTTTATTCTCTCTTGAGAAGAGGCGATTAAAGGGGGGATAAGATCAACACGCAGTGAACCTGGGGTAGAATTATTCGCTTTCAGGTCATTACAGAGGACAAGTGCGCACTCTTTATGACTGGTGGAAGAGAGATTTAACCTCCAAATATGGAAAGCCTTCCTTACAGTAAGA